CGTCCTCCAAGTATCCGTCCGTCGCCTGTTCATCTGGGCTGACCTGCTCGTGTTCTTGTTCGGCTTGCTCGAAGGTAGGATGATCAGGATTGTATTCCTCTTTGGCGCCATCTGGATTATTTTCTTCTCCAGTGCCGATGTTGCTGTGGCGGGGCTTGGGGCAGCGCCGATGACGCCCATGCTTTGATTTCCTCCCTGAGGGGTTATCTTTTGTAGCCTCATCGCCATTGTTCTCTTTGGGGGTGTCCACCATATATATATATCATACGAGGAGGTGGCTATCCAGTGCCCTGTAGGCGGTGGTTCTTGTTCTTCTCCAACATCGTCGTCTATATTGTCGATGTCTTCGGAGTCGAAGTTAAGCACGTCGGTCAAATCATCCACAATGGCTATTAAGTGGGTGGTGGGTGGGTAACAAATTTCTTCGTCGCCTGCTTCCCACTCGAGCCGAACATAGTTCGGCCAGGAATCTTCTGATAGAGAGAGACCTCAATGAATTTAGCACGTCTCCAAAGGGTGAGTGCTGAAAGATATCCGCGGCAGTGAACTCCAAGATTGGGGCCCAATCAGATTCGATGGGCATGGATGCACGCGGTCCGGAACCCACGACGGAAGACAAGTCCGGGGGTCCGGAGATACAGATCTCCTTAGGAGCGGAGTCTGTATTCGGATCCAACGCCTATGAGTGTTTGGCTTCCGGAGCGGGGTCCATCCACCCGTCCTAGGAAGGCACGATCTGCTCTGGAATGAAGTCCGGAGCTGTAGCAAGCGTGATGTTCCGAATACTGTCCGACGGCAGATCTAGGTCATGCACGTCTTGATCATTCGATGTTCCTGATATGGGCCCGAATCCGTCGAAGATCAAGTCTCCGGGGATGTCGACAGTGTAGTTTAGGTTTCCAAACCTGACCTGATGGCCCGGGGCGTAGCTATCGACCTGCTCCAGATGGCCAAGCGAATTAGCCCGCAGTGCGAAGGCGCCGAACACAAAAATCTATCCGGGGAGAAAAGTCTCACCCTGGACGGAGTTGTTGAAGGTTGGACAAGCCATCGAGCCTTATAGCGACGACACAGAGGAACTCTGAATGAAAGCACCAATGTCGGTGTCAAAACCGGCGGATCTCAGGTAGGGGGTCCCGAACTGTGCGTCTAAGGCTAATGGTAACAGGAGACCGGGGACACGATGTTTACCCAGGTTCGGGCCCTCTCGATGGAGGTAATACCCTACTTCCTGCTTGATTGATCTTGATGATATGAGTATTACAAGAGTTGATCTAACATGAGATCAGAGAGGCTAGACCCTAGAAGCTAGCCTATGGTATGGTTGTTGTTGTTGTGTCCTACGGACTAAACCCTCCGGTTTATATAGAGACCGGAGGGGGCTAGGGTTACACAGAGTCGGTTACAGAGAAGGAGATCTACATCCGAATCGCCAAGCTTGCCTTCCACGCCAAGGTGAGTCGCATCCGGACACGGGACAAAGTCTTCAATGTTGTATTTTCATAGGACAACAGTCCGGCCAAAGTACATAGTCCGGCTGTCCGGATACCCCCTTATCCAGGACTCCCTCACCGACCCGTCACATAGTGATGAGCCGACCCTTGCCATCAACTGGTTGAAGTTTTAGAAGCATAAAGATAGTTACAAGTCCCAAGTTGCTGCAGGCAAGTCAACCCGGTACTTGGGGGCTACATATGTGGAATATTCAACTTATGACTGGTGACTCAGACGAACAACCAGTATTTCTCCAGAGTTGCAACATTTATATTGAAGAAAGTCCCAAGCTATCAATGTGTTCCCCTCATAAGACTTGGGGGCTACAGTCATATGGATATAAGGAAGGTATACCTTCAAATTCTCAGTTATGAGTGAACCAGGTCTCATATTTTTGGATGGAGAATTTTGCAAAGATTATTTCCTCTAAATCCATTCAGATAAGTCTGAAGCATTGAAAGTTGGCTCAACACGAGACATATTTTCCTTTTATGTCAAACCTAGGCATTTTGAAGACAACTCAAAGATATCATAAGGGTTATTTTTTCTGCAAGGAGCCAACGTCAACATATTGATATGACAAAAATTCAGACTTTTCAGTAGCTGGTCAATAAACTAAAACCGGTCTTTTTGAGTGAGTTGGTCCCTTTGCATGTTCTTATTTCAAGAGTTTAGCATGAATAAATTCAAACCTAAACTGGGGGCTAATGTTGGGGACATTCCCCACGACTAAGACCCGGCTCATAAGGATAAGCTGCCCTGAGGCTTAAGTCATCTCTAGGTTTAAGTCTCCCTGATGTTAAGTCATTTCTGAGCTTAAGTAGCCCTGATGTTAAGTTATCTCTAGACTTAAGTCACCCTGATGTTAGGTCATTTCTGGGCTTGCCCTGACGTTAAATCATCTCTCGACTTAAGTCGCCCTGATGTTAAGTCCTCCCTGGACTTAAGCTGCCATGTTAAGTCCTCTCTGGAATTAAGCAGCCATCTTAACACGCCATCTTAACCCGCCATGATGAGTCCCGGAGATGAGTCTTGGAGATAAGGCCTGAAAATAAGCCCTAAGGTAAGCCTCCCGACAGATTGTAACCCGGCAGACGGATGTAACCCGACAGACAGTTGTAACCCGACAGACAGATCCTAACCCGATAAGTACTTAGCCATGAAAATGAGCCGCCTGGAGATAAAAAGCTCAGGCGTTAAGAAGCCCACGGTGAGAAGTCCGTGATAAGAAGCTCGCGATGGGAAGTCATAATAGGTTAAGTCTTAATCCGACTTGGACTCTACATGTAAGCCACTCCTTGAACTTATATATGGAGGGGCAGGTGACCCTAAGAGGGTCAAGTTTTTAGAGGGTCACAATAGACAGGTTAAGATAGTCAGGGCTTTGACAGACAAGTCTAAAACAAGATCAAAGTAGATGCTCTCGAGATAGAGGTAGTGAGACACGATCATCATCATCAATATCAATGAAGCAGGATGTAGGCTTACCTCCACCGCGAGGGCCCGAGCCTGCGTAAAATCTTGCGTCTCTCGTCCCACTCAACCCCGCTCAAGCTACCATTTAGATGAGTTGGCCTCACGACTAAGTCCTCACACTAAGATATCTGCCGTGACAAAATCACGACAACGAGTGTTGTCATCCGTGATGGTTGTTGTTGGGTGGTCGAGTTCGCTTCGACAGGAATCTAGTGGTTGCATTTTATTTTTCGTGTTCGTATTGGTGTTGGTTGTGTGCCTCCCAATCGTGCAAAAATCGAGCATGCGACCCCTTCGGTAAATAAAATTCGCCGTTCACCAAATGACTGCAATTTAAACACCAAGAGACAGGACGCATCTTGCTGTAAACGAGAACTTGGGAGCTGTGGCTCGCTGACTCCCATTCATTAGAAAACTGACATATCTTATCTACTACTACTATATACTCTAGCACTGAGATCGATCTGGAATCGTTTCGGCCGCAACATATTATATCTCTCGGCCCCAATCATTCTCGGTCCATCTGCCGTTTGGCTACGTGGCACTGCTGGCCGGCCCTGTTGGCATGAATACGTGGCCCATTACAGTATTGATTAGAGTACGGTCAGAACTAAAGAATCCACAAGATAGCACGCCGTGCAGGTTCCTGCATGCTGGGAATCTTTAGGACAAAAAAAAAAGTTTCTCATGTTTTTGTTCACAGCGGCGATTAATAAGGACAAGCTTGAGCCAGCGAAAATTGACATATGAGATCGGGCACTTTGTGCCCGTTATTTTGAAGTTCGAAAATTGCATTTATACGGCTTGAAAAAATTCCAAAATTTTATGTACATGCTATAGCAGTGTAGTATAACATGCCAAAATTTCGCTAATAAACATATGCTTGCATTGCATGTGAGAGCTAAAAAAGACAAAATACATGCAAATTTGGGGCCAGTTTTTTTCGATTTTGAGCTAATTTTTCGCCTTTTTTGTGCAGTACGTGTATACAATAATGGGCACATGCATGCGTATTCATGTGTTTTTTTTTTCAAAAATTTTAAGCACTTGTTTTGGTGGGTTCAAAATAAAGTACTCCGTTGCCCCATGTTCTGAAAATCCATTTTATTAAGTCAGGCCCTGATCGATGATAAGCCTAGTCAGATGCTTATTACTGTAAGAACCGATGCAGAGATGCCTGCAGTAAATTGTTAGGAAACAACATCCGTATCTTGTGAAATTATTTACAACAAGTACGATCTGACGTGAATACTCTAATTTAGATCACAGTATCCATGCATATGGGTACTAGTGCTGCAAAAATCTCTGCTGGTTTTTGGCATTGTTATCTTGATCCAGATAACAAATCGACATGGCTTGTGCAATGGGATTCCATTGTTGCATCAGCTCTCATAATTAGGCTAATTTTGACAAATTACCAGTAGCATGCTGAATTCCAAGCATACCACTAAATTGTCTAAACCTACAAAGTTTCTCCACCGGTGCCTCCTTTTTCTAAACTTTGAGCGACTGCTGGCCTGACTTCACACGACGCATCTTTAATATGGTTCAAAAAGACTGATGTATTGTTTCAGCTGGTCTGCATCATCTCAATTTCGGGAGAATATTATACGGAAACCAATATTTATAAAAAAATTGTGAAAATCATATTTTAAAGTTTTGAAAAAATCTGAAAAAAAATTCGGAATGTTAAGAGTGTGATGTTTTATTGCCACGCAATTTCATGTTGAAACTCTATCTCGTAATGTGTTTCAAGATGAATTTTTGCGTGGCAATAAAACATCACCCTCTTAACATCCCATATTTTTTTCAGATTTTTTGAAACTTTTAAAATATGGTTTCCACAAAGTTTTCATTAAATTGGTTTCCGTATGATATTCTTATCTCAACTTCTGCTCCAACTATATATTACCTGGCATCCTCCACTCTTCTCCTTACCCTCTTACAACACATCAACCTGAAACCTGCACTGCACAGTTGAGAATTCTCCAAGAAAAAAAAGTTAGAGCTTCTAGTTTGAGTATCAATAAATGGTGGACCTGTCCATGATCGACATGGAATGGCTCCAAGAGCCATTGAGATGGCTGTTTGTTGCCTCGGTCATCTTCGTGTTGCTGCAGCGGCGGCGTGGCAAGGCGCCGCCGCTGCCCCCAGGACCGTATTCACCGCCGATTGTCGGCAATATCTTCATGATGGACCAGCTGACTCACCGGGGCTTCGCAGCGCTGGCCAAGCAGTATGGCGGCCTTCTCCACCTCCGCCTTGGCAAGGTCCACACCTTCGCCGTGTCGACGCCGGAGTACGCCCAGCAGGTGCTGCAGGCCCAGGACGCCGCCTTCTCGCACCGGCCAGCAACCATCGCCACCACCTACCTCACCTACGACCGTGCGGACATGGTGTTCGCCCGCTACGGGCCATTCTGGCGCCAGATGCGCAAGCTGTGCGTGATGAAGCTCTTCAGCCGGCGCCGTCCTGGGACCTGGCTGGCCGTGCGCGACGAGTCTGCGGCCCTCGTCCGTGCCGTGGCCCGGCGGAGCGGTGAGCCCGTCAACCTCGGCGACCTCATCTTCAACCTCAGCATGAACGTCACCTTCCGCGCGGCGTTTGGCGCTGAAGCCGCCGGTGACGGTGATGGCCGGAAGCAGCACGAGTTCATCGCTATCATGCAGGAGTTCTCCAAGCTCTTCGGCGCGTTCAGCATCGGCGACTTCATCCCGTGGCTCGGCTGGGCGGACCCACAGGGCATCAACGTGCGCCTCCGCGCCGCGCGCACCGCCCTCGACGAGTTCATCGACAAGATCATCGACGAGCACATAAAGAGGGGCAGGAACCCTGACGACATGGACGCCGACATGGTAGACGGCATGCTCGCGTTCCTCCCTGAAGCCAAGCCGGACAAGGCCGCGGGCGACGACCTGCACCACACGCTCCGCCTCAACCGTGACAACATTAAGGCCATCATCATGGTACGTAAGCATCACCAAACATCCATTATGTGTTGTTAGCCTCTATATATCCATCTACCATGTTTATTATCTATGATGTTTTCATTATTTTCGTTCTCTATTGTTTTCTGAATTCCTTTCCAACAATTGAATCTTGAATCAAAAAGTGGTTTGGTATGTCATGTGAATATGGATATTAAATTAAAGCATATGTTTGACAATATTCTTGCTGAATTAGTAGAATATTTATGTCTCTATTGCATATACACCGACAATTAATTAGTAATCAAAATGAATTTGTGCCATCCAACATTTTTTCGGAAACAATTATAGAACCTTAACACTGTTCAGCCAACAACACCACCCATTGAACTTTCGTCATCCATGAGACTTCTATGTTTTTCTAAGTGACATACTTCCTCCGTCCGGAAATACGTGTCCTAAGAATGGTTGTATTTGGACTTGTTTTAGTTATAGATATATCCATTTTATTTATTTTTAGAACAAGTATTTCCGGACAGAGGGAGTATGATATACTGTAAGTACTATCAGACTGCTCTGTTTGTGTGTGTGTGTGTGATAATAAAGTAATGTGTTGACGCGGCCTGCCTGCAGGACGTGATGTTTGGCGGGACGGAGACGGTGGCATCGGCAATCGAATGGGCAATGGCCGAAATGATGCACAGCCCAAATGATCTCTTGCAACTGCAGCAGGAGCTCGCCGACACGGTGGGTATCGACCGAAATGTGGACGAGCCGGACCTCAACAAGCTCTCCTTTCTCAAATGTGTGATCAAGGAGACACTCCGGTTACACCCTCCCATCCCGCTGCTCCACCGCGAGAATGCCGAGGACTGCGTGGTTGGCGGCTACTCCGTGCCCCAGGGCTCGAGCGTCAATATCAATGTCTTCGCAATGGGCCGCGACACCAAGGTGTGGAAGGACGCCGACACATTCCGTCCGTCACGGTTCATGGAGGGGGAAGGGGAGGCAGCGGGGGTCGACTTCAAGGGCGGGTGCTTCCAGTTCCTGCCATTTGGGTCTGGTCGTCGTTCGTGCCCCGGGATGGCTCTCGGCCTGTACTCGCTGGAGCTCGTTATTGCGCAGCTCGCCCATGGGTTCAACTGGGCGCTGCCAAACGGTGAGAAGCCGTCGGTGCTCGACATGAGTGACATTTTCGGCCTCACCGCACCACGTGCCACAAGGCTCTGGGTCGTGCCCACGCCCCGACTTACCTGCCCTTTGGTTGTTGATGTCTGACGCCGCGTGCCAGACATGATATCGTGAGCGCACAGCTGATGGTATCTACCAGCTGCGCAGGGCGTGATGGTGTTTGATCAGCGTGTTAGTTAATCTAGTTGTAGCTGTAGCTATTTTCCCCTTTTGTGTTAGATATTTCCTAGCTTCGTTTAGACACGATCGCGCCCGTATAAATCGGCTGCCCTGGACGTGGAATTGTGGGCATCGTGGAGCCGGGTCACGATCGTTCCTTTCATCATGAATAAAAAGGAAATGAAGAATGACAGAAAAACAGGAAGTTGTTCGTAGCACAAATGTTTACACCAGCATGTTATTCTTGTCCTTTGTTTCTCCTCCTTCCGCGAACTTGGTTGATAACGATGTTGTTTTCATTTTCGAGAGTTAGTTACACTTTTGATATATAAACCTGCAATTGATGTACATATTCATACGTAAACTTGAAAAAATGATACAAATCGGTGCTACAACTTGTGTTTCAGATACATTCAAGTACATTTCGCTGATGACTCTCCGTTAAATTCTGCACGTTAGTTTACCTACACTTCATATCTGCGCATGGGTCACGCAAAGAAAGAAAGAGAAATATATATATAGCAAAACCGAAAGAAAATAAGAGCGTACGCCGCGCATTGCCGCTCACGGTAAGGCGCCCCAGCCCATCCACCTTTGACCTAGGCAGCCGCCACCTCCAAAATCTAAGGTTTTCTGCCTCCCGCCGGCGCCGGCACCGGTCCGTCCCGTCTCCGGTGGCCTTAGGGCCATGGAGACATGGTGGATCTCAGCCCTTGCCGGTGGGAGGGCTCCGTTTTTAGATCTTTTTTCAAGCTTTGTTAGGATTTGTATCCTGCTCAGGAAGGCAAGACGGCGGCGGCTCCCTGAAGATGGAATAAATGTCTCCCCGCCTAGCCTCCTTCCGGTGATGCGCTTAGCATCATCGGTGGGCGTGTGGAGGTGTGTCTCCGGCGGATCTGTCTTTGGTGGATTTGCTCGAATCTGTTCGTCGTTCGTGTTCTTTGTTTGTCCTCAGGTTTGATCCTTTTGATCGACACTCTTCATCTGCGGCGGTTGCTGTTCTGGTGCGTTGGTTCTATGGAGCCTTAGCACGACGACTTTCCGACTGTCTACTACAACAATGTTTGCCCGGCTCCGGCGAGGGAGGGGCGATGACAGCGGCGCGCCTTCGGCGCTTCAGTGCTTGTAGTCGTCGCTAGGTGGTCTACGGATCTGGATGTAATTTTTTATTATTTTTAGTGTTTATTGCACTAACATGATTGAAGATGAATACATTGAAAGTTTTTCCCGCAAAACAAATAAATAAATATATATAGCAAAACCCATTGCACACGGTTGGAATCAAACTCGGAAGGTTGCCACCAACACTACACGTGCCAACCAATTCACCACGTGCAGTTTTCTATTAGCGCGCGTTATATATAGACATTCCTTTAGATGACTAGGAAACAATTATGAAGTCAAAACATACACTGCTAGATGAGAGAAGTCCTTATTTAACACCGTGTCTAAATTTTATGCCCTACTTGACATCGATAAATAATTTCTTCCCTATCTAACAACGAGTCTAAATTTTATCCCTTTTATAACACTTCTGTCCATTTTGAGCCAAATGACACCTGAAAAGACCATTTTGCCCTCACGTGGTTTGTTTGTGTGCATGTGTGCACGCGCGTACGTGTGTTCCTGCTCAGTGTGTGTGTGTGCATGTGTGTTTGCTACTGTGCGTGTACGTGTGTGTTTGTCACTGGGTGTGTGCGTGCATGTGTGTGTGTGCGGGCGCGCTCTGTTGCGTGCATGTGTGTTGTGTGCGTCTGTGCTGCTGTGTGTGCTACGTGTGTTTGCTGCAGCAGCGTGTGTGTGCTGCATGAGTGTGTCTGTGTGCTGCGTGCGTGTGTGCCGCTGCATGTTGAGTGCTGCGTGTGTGTTGCCTCGTGTGTATATGCTGCTACCTGTGTGCTACTGCCCTCGCACAGATGTTACGTGTGTGCTACTGCCCTGGTCTGAACAACGTGTTTTTTCTTCTCTTTTTTGGTTTTATTCTGCGCAGGACTAGACAACCTGGTTTCCGAAAAAATCTGAATTTCTAGTAGCTTTTTCTTCGAAATTTCCAAACGGATTTTGAATTCAAATTTCAAACAAAATTGAGTTGAAAAAATATGAGTTTTTGACCGATATAAAATTGGGGGCTTACCAAAAATTTTAAATGAAATTTAAATACATGCATACAAGTTTATTTTACAATATCTGACCTTTTAAATTGAAAAAACTTAAATTTTTGAACGATATCAAAAACATTGGGGGCTCACTGAATTTTTTGAACGAATTTTCAATATATACATACGAGTTTATTTGACAATATCTGACCTTTTAAATGAAAAACTTCCATTTTTGAACGATATCAAAAATATTCTGGGCTCACAGAAATTTTTAGTAACTGGTCGACCGAGAAAAAACACGGAGATGAAAGATGCACGCATGCATTAAATCCTGTGCAATGTACATTTTGTGTTCCAAATCAATTTTCCTGGTAAAATATAAAAGCGTTAGTATATCTAGACTAACATAAAACAGTAGTTGGCACGCCAACTACCTGTAGCTTTGTCGCTTGTTCGATGCCTGCTGACTGCACTTTCTTTTGCTATGTTTCTATTTATTTCTATACCACTGACCAGTAGGAGTGTAGGACCCACATGCTGGTACAGGGCCAGAGTTTTTTCAGGGAAATGCCTTCATGGCTAGCTTTATTAATCTTAAATAACACTTACATCATCCGCTAAGAAACGAGAAACAAAGTCAGGAAGGTGAGTCCAGCCACACATTTGGTGGATCATCACGACCTTGTTGTGCTAGCGCATGAGCAACCATATTAGATTCACGATTACAATGCTCGATCAGAACCTTCCCGAAGTCTAGACTAAGAGCTCGACAGTCGTCGAGAATTGGGGCAGCTAACATCGCATGCCCGGTGTTGTAGTTTGAAGCTTCAACTACGACCAAGTTATCCATCTGAACTAGGAGAGAATTGCATCCAAGTCTCTGGGCCAATTTGAAACCTTCGACAAGGACCGCCGCTTCGGCAGAGATAACATCCGCAACATGTTCTAATTTAGCAATGGACGCACCAATAAAAGCACCAGTGCTGTCTCTGACAATTGCTCCACATGCACATGAATGATCTGAATCTGTAAAGGATGCATCAACGTTCAGTGCAACTTGTCCAGCTAGAGGTCTATGTCACCGGTTCAGACGTGGTACGCCCGGCGGTTTGCTTGCAGCTCTCACAAAATTCAAAGCCAAAGCTTGTATTGAAGGTCCGCATCGAGCTGGAGTTAGGGCCTCCTCGCCTCTAGTAATCAGCCTCCTTTGCCACCATAAGTACCAACATGCAATGGCCACAGTTCAGGAATTTCGACCATGTCCAAATAAATAAATCATGCAGTGTGCTGGGTCGCACAAAATGCCCTCAGGAATCTCTGCTCCTAACTTTCCTGGAGTAGCTATATCAACTATCACTCACGTACACCCATTGAGTGCCATACCTCATGCACTACCAGAATAACCTTATATGCCTACGGCATTATCTATGCCGACGGTTGCCGTAGGCATAGATGGAGCTACGCCGACGGCCTGAGGGAAACCGTCGGCATAGAAAAGCCGTCGGCATAGCTCAATCTATGCCTACGGCAGCCGTAGGCATAGTAAGGCCGTCGGCATACATCGATCTATGCCTACGGTGGCTGTAGGCGCAGTTAGGCCGTAGGCATAGAGGTGGCCCTGGTGGCCCGGGGATATACCGCGAGTTGACGTCGTCAAATCTATGCTGACGGCCCTGTCGGCGGTCGTCGGCATAGATATCATCTGACTTTTTTTTACTAGGAGCTGCCACGTGGCAGAGCTATGCCGACGGCAAAGCCGTAGGCATAGTTTTTCATCTGTGCCTACGGCAAGGCAGTAGGCATAGATTTCATCTGTTTTTTTTTCATTTTTTTAAGTTAAAATTTGATTAATATAAATCTAACTTATCTAAACTTAAACATACACAAATTATACATCGACGTGAGGTAGAATTTTCCATAGATTATGAATATCTAGTTTGTTTTTGTTTTTGAGTATGTTAGAAATGTGACCTAATGTACTTTTGCATATAGGTCCTTATACTTTGCTAAAATCATAAGTAATTGATACTTGGATTGATTTTGACAAATTTTATATGGTTTTTTATCAGAATCTTGAAAGGATTATGTTGCTATACTATGTTTCAAATTTGAGCAAACTTAAATCATGTTTGCTTCAAATTTACAGAAAACACCCTTTTGTTTTGAATTTTTTGTATATTTTTTATTCCTTGTACGGAAGCCTTCGGCATAAGTGTCTATGCCGATGGCTTTTCTATGCCAACAGCATCTTGGGTTATGCCGACGGATATGTTGCCGACGGCCTGGAACGTCGGCATAGCCCTTCATTGTGGTAGTCATGTACACGTCCACACAAAAACAACATATGGGCCACGTCCTCCACGTGTGTAGAGCAGATTGGGCACTGTCCTGAGTTAGAAATTTGTCTTTTTGCAAGAACACAGCAACATGGGATCGCATCATGGAGGCTGTGCCATAAGAAAATCTTTACCTTGCCTGGTACCTTCAGGTTCCAAAGTCGCTTCCAGACAGGATGTACTGACGATCCACTAATTCCCGACGGGTTACCATTACCTGCCGCATGGTATTCCTCCCGTTGCCTGTAGTAAGCAGACCGAACACTGAAAATTCCAGATTTCGTCAGATGCCATGCAACAGAGTTAACAGCAAACGACGGCAATGTACTTAAACGCACCTGAAACGCAAGTTGTAGGACCGCTTTGTGTCGTTTTTTCATGTTTACGTATGGATTTGTACGTCGAGTGAAAGTTCATGTACCAATAGTGTAATTAACTCAGTTTTTAAACGAAGATAAAAGACTTGCCTCATTCATTAATTGAGAAGAGTTTA